CTGTGCGTCCACATCAGTGAGGACCTCACTTGGACACTTAACACCACACAGCTGGTCAAGAAGGCCCAACGGCGGCTGTACATCCAGAGGAGGCTGAGGAGGTTTGGCATGTCGCCTAGGATCCTCAGCAACTTCTACAGCTACATCATTGAGAGCATCTTGACCAGCTGCATCACTGTCTGGTACGGCAGCACTACTGCTATGGACCACAAACGCTTGCAGAGAATGGTAAAGACAGCAAAGAAGATCATCAGGACTCCCCTGCCCTCTCTGCAGAGCATTTACCACCACAGGGTGCGTAGGAAAGCTGCCTCCATCCTCAAAGATCCAACTCACCCTCAGCATGAACTGTTCGCCTCCCTACTCTCTGTCCGGAGGTTCAGAAGTGTGAAATGTAGGACCACTAGACTGAAAAACTCTTTCTTTCCCTCCATCAGACTCCTAAACAGCTGAGGAGTTTATTACCAGGAAATACGTCATGTACTGTCGACCTGTACTGTTTACATTCTCAGTTTGCACACTGATTGTTGACTGCTGCACATGCTGCTCCCATGCAGCATACATTCTGTTATATTCTTATATAGTTTTATTATACTTCTGCATTTGCTGCTTAAAGTGTCTTAGATTTTGTGTTACTTATTTATCTACTTTATATTTATTTGTATTTTGTCGCATTCATGTGGACGGCAAAGTAAGAATTTCATTGTACAGGGAAACACGTTTCCTAACTGTGCATATGACAAATAAACACTTTGAACTTGACTACACTGCTGATACAAGCTTTTTTTCCTAACAATAAAAAGAATAGTCCAACAAAACATTGTCATTTTGTGCTTTGTATGTGACTTTTCCCAGTGTGCGCTTACAAGGCTGCTATGTGTGTAAGCCTTGGAGAAATGAGAGTTCTTCTGCATATTGGTGGCTTTTTATCCCCCTGAGACAACAACTAGCCTGTTATCTCTCTTTAAACACTACTGATAATCCTACTGAGATGCTCCACTGATTGGTCAGTAAAATGCAAAATTATTGTTATAAGTAAATACACGATTAGGTTTCCACATGTCCCGTTTTGTTCTAGTCTAAGAACTCTGACATAGAATCAAACTTCCAGCTTGTTTCTTGGATAAGGTGAAGTGATGAGACTTGACATTTATGTTTGTCTGCATTTCTCCATAGTTTTATAAAACACCAATTTCAGTATGTTTCTTTTTTCATTTGCACATGAAAGATGTTTCAGTTGTTTGCATATCAGGTATAAACACTTAGACAGCAACAACTGAAACTGAAATTTGCTATCTAGCAGTTATTAAGCTCTTGTTTGGACATGACGCAAAACAGCTGAGCTACTGTACCATTCAATGATATCAATGACATGATATGACTATTAGAAAGGCAATAACTAGAGTAAAAAAACACTGTCCTCTCTGTTGGTACATGACAAGCCCCATTTTATTGTATTCCTATTTTCTATTTAGATATTTATAACATACAAATAAGAAAGAAATGAGAGCATCAGTCAGTTACTGTCAACCAGCAGTAGAGAAGTGAAGGCAGTTGCTCAGGAATCTCTTTGCCACACAACTCTACTGCTCTCTTTGGCTTCCTCCTTGGAATTGCTTTGGTTCTTCTTGGCATTTCCCATCCAGTATTCAGTGTTGCTGACCAGGTCACCATTGCTGCTCAGCATCTTGAGGCGTCTGTTCAAGTGGCACACCTTCCATGTCAACAACAAACTAGAAACCAGCAGGATAACACAGAGTATCATCAGTCCGCCGGCCACCAGCAAACTTGAGATACATTCCTTCTTGGAAAAGCTGCAGTGGTGGAAGTAGTCGTGGTAATGGTGGGGGGGGGGGGACTTTGTATTAGTGGGCTTGGTGGTAGTGGGCAGTGGGTGAGGTGAAGATGAAATGTAATGAAATTCAAAATAAAACATATTCAAATGAAGAAAACACTTACACTGCTGGGGGTCTTGGTATAATCCCAAAAAGAACAACATTTTCTACTAAAATTATGTATGAACTGTGCTCTAAGTAAAGAGAGATTGACAGTCTCTAAAGAAACAGAGAAAATGACAGTAATCTAAACCACTGGACACACCAATCAGGCTGGTTTTGTCTTCTCTATTTGGACTATAATAAGAGGAAGTGGCTTTGCTGTTCTGTTCTACGCTGTAGTTTGCCATGCAGAGAGATGGCCAACTATAAAAAGTTGCAAACATGTTACACTAAATGCTCACTGAGTATCTTAGAATAAAATAGTTCTAATTGATCACGAGGTATTTTATTTCAAATTAGCAATTTTTTGGTCTTCAGTGTCATCTGCATATCTTTGTCCAACCCAGAAATGCTCACAGATGATGTGATGGACCAGTAATGGAAGACACAGTGACACTTTGTCAGGTAATACCACAGGTAGTGAAGGTTCAGCTCACATGCAGAGATCAGGTAGATAGGTCAGAGAGAAAGCATTTAACCCCCATCACTTCATGCACCTGGCGTTCGTTATCTCCCGCCTCAGTCTCCTACATAAAAGAACACTGTCCTCTCTGTTGGTACATGACAAGCCCCATTTTATTGTCTTCCATGGATGAAAACAGAAACTGTGTACAGAATGGTCATCACATGCAATACAAAAATATGAATTTTTACAGTAACATGAAAAGCATGTATTGGCCCATTCTAAAAAATTGTACAGCTTTTATACAGATTTTATACATGAAAAAAATATAAATATATATATGCATCTGTAATAGCCATGGCAGTACCTAAAATGATGTACTTTACATATAAAATGTGTATACAAATATTGTAAGAACTGTTAATGTGCTATACATTAAATAATGTATATACATTACATACCATTGGATTTTGCAACACAACATGTACTGCAGTCGTTCACAAAAATCAACCCTAGGTATTCCAACACAGTACGCTCACTTGGTTGCACATGCACCCACATACGACACATAAATACAAGCACACCAACTGAAGTCAGCAATCACAAACATTACGCACAAGCGCACGCAAGAGGTAATGTTTTAGGAGGATATAGGACACTTTTGCACCAGGTTTCTGACTTATCTTTTTTTATTCTTTTTGTGCAGAGAATGAAATAACCTCTTAGAAGAGGGACTTTAAGGAACTCATATTCTTATAAAGTGCACTTTACACTTCAGTGGATGGACACCATTATTAAAATGTATTTAATAATATATAGCCAGCATAATTCTATTCCCATATGGATTGTGAATGAAGGGAATATCTGACCTGGTTCCTTTCACCTGCCATTTAACATACTGTACAGAAGTGTCTTCATCAGTGCCCTGTTTTCAAATGCATCCAATAAACAGTGACTCTACAAGGTTATACTCCAAAAAGACGACATACATGCGAGCATATCACACTGTCCAAGCCTCAGAGACCATCCTGAAGAATCAAAGGAAACACTGCAAATGTGACTCTTTAAAACCAAACTAAACAACAAGAAATACAACAACAACAATAAAAATAAAAAAAAAACAGAGTTCATGATTATTTCTCTCCTGTTGACAAAGTGCTCATTGTGTCTGGACACGGGCTGGCGAACATCTTAGCACATGCCATCACACAACCGCTAAAACCACCGAGGGACAGGAGCAGAGAGGCAGTCGGTTTAAGAACATCACTCAAGCAGCCTGTCAAATGCTTGTCAACCCCCTCAGCGAAAACACAGATATATGAAGTAATCCGTTTGGGAGTAGGGTCCATTTTATGCCCAGCAGTGTGTCTGTTTGTGTCAGAGTGAAGAGGAGCCATGTGGTCGGGTCCCTGGCGAGAACAACCACATCACAGCAGCACAGAGAAGGCAAGCAGGTCATCAGGAGGCACAGCACACCAGTCCGTCTCAGCACAGACAACACAAGCCAGTGATTCACAAGCCTCAAAGTCCCAAACAACATTACAGAACAAAACCAAAAAGGAAGGCAAAGAGATATTAGATGAAAGGAGGGAAAAGGTGGGGGACGACCGTGTTTGTCCCTACACCACACCTCAGTCCACTGATCCTCTCTTCCCGACAAGAAAACGTGGTGGTTAAACATGGAAGATCAGACTGTGGATTAGTGGAAGTAGTGTCTGGTTCAGGCAGAGGCAATGCTTTGATCAATCCTGTAACAGTTAAGGATTCAGGAGCATGCAAGGCAGACCCAGGCTTTGTTTTGCATTGCTTATGTGTCAGAGCGACTGCTACAACCTGGATTAGAAAAGAGAGTAAGAAAAGAGAGAAAACAGCAAAGGAAAACACAAACATCACATGGTTAGTGAAAGTGCAACAAGCTTGCAACGGTGAAGAAGGCACCACTGCAAAAGCAGAAGGATACTATATACACAGAGATTAGTTCAATCAACAACAAAGATTCATTTGACCATTTTATATCCAAACTGAAATTTTAAGTGATTTAAATTGTTGTTTTATGTAAAAGATATGCTCGCATCTCTTTTATTATCCGGCTAAATGAAACTGCATTTAACCATAGAAGATCCACAGTGATAGGTTTTACACTAAAAGTAAAGAAACAAAGGTTGCACGTAGTCCTGGAGCAGAGGTTTGTGAAAAAGCACATCATAAGCAAGAAGCAGAAAACAAGCGGGAAGCATGGCGTGATGGGGGCGAGGAGGAGGTCTGGGTAAAAAGAGAATAAAATCCATTCTGGTGCAGAATATGATGCAAACCAATAAAGATGACAAGGAGTGATTGTTTTTAAGTGATTCTTCAATGTTCAAAGTTCATTTCCTGTATTTTTAGATCTGAACATTCTTGTGACTCCTGTTTTTGTATGTATTGTACTTGGTCAATTCACACTTTGGACTTCACAACCGTCACAAATCAAGACAAGAGATGACTGTCCAGCCTATGTTGGGGGACAAAGAATAAGTTCAGCTTTACAATTCACATTTACATACATCAAGCACAAAGATCACATTTCATCTGAGAGCAAGCGACAGCATCTACAGTATGCCATGTTGCTGTGCCAGAGTGCATTCGGGTCATGTGCAGTGCTGAACAGAAGTGATAAAATAATTCAAACATATTTATCTTCTCATATACAAAATATAGCAAACACATCCATTTACTGAATCTCCTCAATAAATAAGACTATGTTACCCCAGTGCTGAAAAATTCCGGCTCATACTGCTTGTAGAGTTAAGAGTCAATGACTAATGATCATCAGTGACAGGCCATTGTACCACAAGGATCCAGAAGATACACAGTAAGGACTGAGGTTTTGTTTTTGTCCAGTGTCTTTACATATTTCTTCATTTCTGGATACCTACTCTGCAGACTTCCAGAAGTGTCCAGGGTGGGACAGCCTGCGGTTGAGTTTGGGCAGCTTCTCCAGCATGTCAGCCAGCTGGGTGAAGGTTGGCCTCTCCCTCAGGTCGTACGCCCAGCAGGCAGAGAGGATCTCCTGAGGCAACAAGGCACAATGACATTCAGTGTATGTATTGTACTTGTAAAGGCACCTGGCAAAGCACTCATTGGACTGTGCACTGGGAATCATCGCAACACATTGCTGTAGCACTAGAGCGCGGTTGCCACATTTACACAAGTAGAACAAACATGTATGTTTCTGAATGACAGAGACACTTGTGCTTCTGTTTTGACTCACAGTGACCTCCTTGCCCAGGCTGATCGCTGCCAAGACCTTCTTTATGCCTTCTCCGCTCCCCACCTGCCAGATGGTAGCTTCCACAGGCTGGTTGGTGATTGGCCAGTCCCTAGCTTGGAGCTCATACCAAATGGTGCTTAAAGGGGGCAAAGCAGCAGGGTGATTATTCCTTTGTGACACAGGTGTGACAGTAGAACAGGCCCAGAGAACTATGTGCGTTAACCAAGACGTGTGCCGAGCTTACCCAAAGGCGTACACATCTGCTGCATTGGAGAAAGGGAGGCGGTCCTCGTTGTTTCCTGGGCTCATCTTACGCACAATCTCTGGCGCGAGATAACAAATCCAGCCATGTGGAAGTTTTAGTTTATTCTCACGCCTGGAAAAAAGTACACATTTGATCAGAAAGACACATTTACTAGAGTGGAAAATGCATGAAATCTCCAACTCCTGCGTACAAAGCAGCTATTCATGAAGTCATACACAGTGAATGCACAAAACTAGCAAGCTGTGAGTTCAACATGTGCTTCGAAGACTATGCTGGGAATTATTCAGATTTTACAAGCAGGACATTTCCATCTCTGCAGAAAATACTGGCTGACATGAGAGATGCCTGCAGGACTGGAGCCACCATGGACCTTAGCAGTTCTTACAAATCACTGGACCTCCCCAAGCAATACAGTAGCAGTGTGGTGTGACCAGCACTCTAGCTGGGGTTGTAATGTTTCTCACCTCCCTTCCTGAACAACTCCAGAAATCCCAAACAGCCCGAAGTCCGTGATCACGACTTTATTGGTATCATGAAAAACATTCTTTGACTTCAGATCTTTATGAACAATACCTTTAGCGTGCAGATAGCCCATTCCCTGTATCGAAAGGCAAACACAACAGTTCATGGAATGTTTTCATACAAGCTCTGATGTTAATTCAGGAGTTTAATTGTTTGCTCAAAATGATTTTTTCCTTGTTCCAGTCTATTTGAGTCTTTTTGCTGTTCCGTTGGCAGCTACAATGCAAATAGAGAATTGGACTGAACTGGCAATATTCTCTTGGGACATTAATTAGCTACAAAGAGCAAAACAGAAATCTATTTAATAAACAATATCTCTGGCTTTGTTATAATACAGACTTCTGGTTTCTTATAATAAAAATATTTCTTGGCATGTAGCATGTAGCACTGATGACAGCTTAAATCATGGGTCTTACAAAAATCAAATGTAATAATGAATGCTTTTAAATAAAAGATTTCAAAATAAGAATTACCTTTACAATCTCCTGAGCGATTTGCCTCGTCTTATTAATGTCCAAAGCGTTTTTAGTGTCTCTAACAACTGAATACAATGTCCTCCCTTTACAGAAGCTATCGGGAGAGAAAAGATGAAACTGAAGAACTGAAGAAATGTATTTGGGTTAAAATCATATTAGAGGTATGTTTGATATCTGTGCTCTCACCTAGTTATGATGGCTAGGTGGGGTGGAGCCATGCAGGCTCCCATAAAGAGGACCACATTCTCATGTCTAGTCTGTCTGTAGTTCATCACCTCTTTTTTAAAGAGCTTCAGATGGTCCTGATTGTTCCCATCAATCTCAAGAAGTCGGATAGCCACCTCGCCGTGCCACCGACCTTTATGCACTTTGCCCCAACGGCCCTGCATACACAACAAAACAACTTCAGCAAAAGTGCCTTTTCGGACTATGACACACACACGCTACGGATGTCCTCACCTTTCCTATGAGTTCTCCAAGGTCCAGCTGCTCAAAAGGGATGTCCCACTCCTGCAGATAGACACTGGTCTGACTGGCCTTGCGGGAGATGGGGCCCTTCCACTGGTTCCCCCGAGAGCTGGGCAGATCATCCAGCTCATCGCCATCCAACTCACCGTCTGAGCCTGCGTTCTTCCGATTCTCCTCCCCATCATCATCATCTTCTTCTCCTTCGTCCTCATTCTCTCCCTCCTCTTCCTCTGCTTCTGGGTCATTTTCAACCTTAATTTCTTCCTGTGCTTCCTACAACAGTGTAGTGTTGGCTTTGTTATTCAACTATGTATGAAAGAATAAAACTAAGGCTACCTAAAGAAAGGTGAGTTAGGTGACGTGAAAATAACTTTTAATATTTTCTGTTCATACAAATTAAAGCAGAATACTTCATATAGTAATTATCAATATACAGAATATATATAAAGAATTATTTAAATGTAGTGAATTTAAATCTAAATCACCAAAATGCTGTTAAAACAAGATTATATGCATATTCAATAGCTACTCTGAAACTGAAATGTTATAATCTTTATGTTATAAAGTCTTTAAAGCTGCACTACAATTATTCTCACTCACAAGTCTGCACATACTCTCCAAAATGATCAATACCCATGACAGGAATGCTCTAAGTGTGACCAGTAGTGTGAGAGAGCTTCTTCCTGCAGGAGCAGAAACTCGGGGGTTGTTGAAGAAAGCCTGCCAGTGAGCAGGTTAGATTCACAGAGTTAAAGTGACCTCCATTTCTGGAACTGAAAACCCAGCGTTTCCCTTGAGTCAGGGTGAACAAACTCTGTCTTTTCAACTAACCTGCTTTTGGAACAGCCCCATGATCATGTTTTTTGCACCACAGAAAATAACCATTCTGTCACGTTCTTCTGTGTAGGTCAGTGTCACCAGTTTTGGCTTTGTCTAAGTTTGTCTACTTTGCATCTTGTAGCAAACTTTCCAGTCCTCATAATAATGAGGACTGGAAAGTTTGCAACAAGTTTGCTACACAGTGAGTAACATAATGACATCTGAGAATTTCTGTCCTTTAACTCAATTTACATCACAAGCTGATGCAAGACCCATGTCAGAAATACGACTTAGACAACCTCATTATACTGAGAGAAAAGGCTGGTATCAAAGTGCTTTTCTACACTGCACACATGACATGTTGCAACATTACCTCTTCATCTTCATCTTCTACCAGCTCAGCATGTATGTCATCCGCTGATTGCTCTGTTTCACTGCTGTGATACAGACAACCGATATCAGAGTGGTTCAAACCAAAGACATAAATGATAATAATTAAACTATTCTGTTATCACTGATGCTTATTGAACTGCAATTTTCCATATAAATATCTTACACAGCGTCTTGGAGAACATCACAGTGCAAATTAACAGGAGTGGAGACATCTGTAGAGAAAAAGAACATGTTTTAGGAAGGAAATGAGAGGAGGAGAAAAAGAATCTTGTGTTTTCACCCCTTTTCCTTAGGGAAATGGCCCATCACATACAGGCGCATGGCAACTCATGCAATTTCTCACTATCTCCAGCAGATGGTGTCAAAAGGCTGTTAAATGACATCATGCAAACCTAGTGCAGGGACACAATGAAAGATAGCTACAGTAAAAGCAAACATGCAGAGAGGACAGAGAGAGCTGGAGGGTGGGATGATGGGATGGCAACATGGCACCAGACATCTGGGGACTGTCAACTCACCAGGGAAGATAAACTGCTGTCTATGCTGAAAGTAACAGGCAGCTTTTGTAAAAATAAAACAAATAAAAATAAAAGAGAGAGAGAGAGAGAGAGAAAGGCCGACGAGGATGGCAGTGAGAAAGACTGATGGTTAGAGAAGCTCTGAATTAACAAATCTTGTAAGAAGTGCAGTTTGTTCTTCAGTGTTAATTTACATAAATGGAGAAAGGAGGGAAGAAAACTGGGTGAAGCCCATACTATGCTACATACTGTTAAACTGAAACAGGAATTCAGGGGGGAAACTGTATAACTAGGAGAAGTCAAGAGCACAAAGCTCGCATACACATTTCTGTGTATATGTGTGTAGTGTTTGTATTTCAGACTCTGGCTATCTATACTTCTGGATTTTCTTGTGTCCTCCTGGATCCGTGCTTACCTGGGAAGTTGAAGCGGCTGTCCCTGTGACCTTTGGGCGAGGGATTGGGTGGTGGAGTTGCGCTCAGAGGGTTGCTCTGCTGGAAGGGTGCCGGGGAGGAAGGTGTGGATGAGGTGGTAGAGGACGGATTGCTGCTGGAATCCAGCTGGTTCAACACTGGAGGATGATCCTGGTGGAGCAGGGATAGATAAGATGAATTCTACTCTTTTACTTTCCCAAAAATCTCTTACAGAATTATTAGAGTTTTTCTTAAAAAGTAAAAAAAAAAAAAAAAAGCATGCAGAATCATGGGATCATATGTGAAAACAGGCACATATAGCCTGTATTTTCATTAAGTGCTGGCACTTTAGTGGCACTTGTATGGCCAATATCAAAGTGTTATTTTAATGTGACAATAATTCAGTAATGTTTAAAATGACTACAAACAGTAATACACAGCTCCTAAACCCTTGTTTTTAATGTTTACCTTTTTTGTAATGGCCTTTGGTAGTGTGCCAAACTGTGGTGCTTCTGATGGCCGGTCCACAGGATTGTTTATATCAGATGGAACGGACTCAGTCCTCCGAATTTTGGCAACTATGAAAGAAATTCGTAGCGTCACAATGTATGTACATGGATGTATGCAAAACACACTCAGCTGTTCATCAACTGCAGATTGAGAATTCAATAAAACTCACTTGGTAGAAAAGAGATTCTGCAGGATGGAGCTTCTTTTGTGCATTTGTTGTGGCACTTTAACCTGCACAGAGAGGCGGTTGCACATGATGTCAAATAGCGATCAACCTGGCACCTAACACTCTTCCTTTCCAGATCATGATCTATTCAAGGTGTCACGCTCCCCAGCTCTCAGATCCATACTGTATGTGCCCCAGTGGCCCCAACACCCAACAGAACCTTCTCATGCTTTCTAATGTAAAACCTCTGTCCACTTCAAGTTCACTTTAAATAAAAGGCACTCAACTCACCGACAGTGTTTACACTTCACCCCAAACATCATGTTCTTCTGGCACACCTGACATGTCTGGGACAGCCAAGACCTTGTTGAAAACCTATGCAAACATAAGAACCTCTGTTGGATCTATGGTATAACATTACTGCAGGGTTATTATTGATATGGTTAATTCAATCAAGTTTATGACAGAACATTTTGTGTGGAAAAAATAAAGATCTACCTGTGTGTAACTGCTAGACCTATGTCCCTCCTCACAGCTTGTGGGGAGCTGCGGTGTAGTGCTACATTATCTAGCCAGGGAGCAGCAGATGGAAGAAAGGAAAGAAGGGAGGAAAGATTAAGCAGAGGAATGTGTTATGTCAAGAAAGACTGATCTAATGCATAGAAATGATTGTGGAGATCTTACAGACCCCAAAACCGGCCCAAAAATAAGCAAATACAGGCGGCCATATAAACACAGAAAATAAAGATGAGGAATATTCATTTCTCTTGAACCCTTTATAGAACCATACTGTCTCATTAAATCATTTTAGAACAGTCACATTGGATAAACATTCATATCCAAGCCAGACTGTTTTTTTTAACATGTAAACCATGTACATTCACCAACATGTGCATAACTCACTCTTAATGGTGCTGTGCTCTTCTATTAGGGTGGGTGTGCCAGGCAGGGTATAAGGTGCTGTGGCTGCAGCTGGGGTGGCTCCAGGGGTGCGTGCAGACACGACAGGGTAGCGAGAAGGTGAGTCCTCGCATCCATTCCCGTTGACTTGCATATTCAGGAATAACTTGTTCTTTTTAACACACCTGTAGAGAGGGGGAAAAGGACCACAGCATCACTTACATACCACAGTGTGTGTGAGACAGGTTATGTAAGAGATAGAGAGAGGCACTTTGGAGTACTTAAATATCACTGGCACGGGATAGCCAGGGTGACACCCAGACTGAAGTCCCAAGCTGAAGCATCAAGTAGTACCAGTTCTGTGTTTTATACACTCACATGCACATATGCACGTGAGTACTCAGGAAACAAACCCGTCGGTCTAATATTAGCCTGAGTTCTGTTCAATCAGCTCTCAGATCTGTGACCTGAATATACGAGCAAGACTGTCTGAGCATGCACTGTTAGAAGCACTGAATCTACATCAGCCATATTTAATTCTGTCTTTTGCCAGTTTTTTTCAACAAAGTGTTCCACAAATAGACAGGATATTATGGATAAATATGTACCACAATACAGACAAAGTGTACTGCATGTGTCTTGCCACCTCTGAGCATCAATCCTAGGAAATACTTCCTGTTTTGACATGATTCATAATCTCTGGGAATCTGTGTGAGGATTAGCTCATCTAATCAGGGCAAAGAAGCAACAGGCAGGATGTGAAAGAGGAAGAGGGAGAGAGAAAATGTGACTATGTCTAAATGAAGTTCCTGTGCTGACACAACATAGGACAGAGGAGAGAATGAGACACTGGGCAGGTGCTTTTCAGCAGCTGTTATTATATCTCAGTAGGTGATCAGACTGATGAGACTGCAACAGTAACCTATTTGCCATAATATTACCATAATCATGCTTATTTAATGAAAACATGGCACTCTCTACTGCTATTTACAGTTTGACTACAATTTCTCCCTTCATTTCAGTTCAGACTTGTAGACATGTCCATATATTCTCCTCTGTGTAACATAACCATAGTCATTATAATACATTTGTTTTGATCAATTCATCACTGATCATCTTAAGAAATTAACAGCAGCGTCACACACTGACAATTCATTTCCCTTACTTTTTAGTAATGAAAACTACAGTACACTCCATACAACTGCACAAACCAAATGAGCCGTGAGGAAGTAAACAGGCATTTGTGTGAGCATCATAGAAATGGCCTGTAAGAAACATATTGAGATGGGATTTATCATACTAGTAATTTGTGATGGAGCGAGGCTATCAAGGAATACACAGCACATGACACCTGTAATGATGCCTCATTACTAGAGCTAAACAATTGGAAAGACAAGAAAATCAATGAAATATCATTAGCAATAGTATAAGATACTGCAGCTCTCTCACCACATCACTTTTCCTCACTCCCTAGCGCTTGTAAACAAAGTCAGCAGTGTAAACCTGTTATAATGACAAAGTGATTTGAGCACCTACTTGTTGGTGGGAGTGTCTTCAATACGGTTGCCCAGCTGGGACTCGTGGCTTTTGCTGCGTGTCAGGGCAATGTTGGGAAACAGATGCAGCACTTTGCGGGAAGGAGGTGGAGGTGTGCAGGGGGGCTTCAGTCGATGACGCCTTTTTGAAGGCGGAGTTATAGGTGGGGTGGAAGTGTGTCCATGGAGACGAGCTGTGTGAGTCAAGGACAAGGGGAAGGGATCTGTAAGGGAGCTCTCACTGTGAACGTGCGATGCCAGCGCCTCAGGTATGGGTGCTGCTGATACTGAGCCTGAGCGGGGATGAGGGAAGGCAGCAGAGGGTGTGGATGGGGTGGACTGGATTGCGGAAGGTCGGGCTAGAGGTGAGGGACTGTGAGGGCGGAGTGGAGTCCCCAGGCTGGTTAGCTGGTCTGCAGTCAGTAGAGAGCCACTGTCCCTTCTAGTTGGCTCAGACAGCCAAGGACTGCTGTCTTGTTCACCTCCTGGACAGGAGGTAAGCCAGAGAAATAAAAGTAGCAGAAAACCTAAAGATAATACAGTGGGATGCATTGGATCATAGAGGTTCCCATACAGCAAACACACATACCTGAGTCAGTGGCTCTCTTCAGACAGGAGAGGGCAGCACTGAGTCTGGCACATTCTTCTGAACTGGACCCTAGTCTTCGTACTGTATCCCTCACCTGAGAACCTGTCATCTGCAGTAAGGCATCCAGGGACAACTTCACTTCCACTGCCTGCACAGGAGCCAAACAAAGAAAAATACCGTGTGAGCACTGAACAACAATACGAGAATGAGCAAATACATAAGCAGCATACTGTGTGTATCAGTGGGAAGCCCATACACATCAGCAGGTATGGGGACATCACTTAGATAGTAATCAATGGTGATTAATGGTGATTATTTGCTAAATACTCAGAGACAAGAAGTATATAACCCCCTAAATCTTAGTATCGCCAGTGTGCACACAACAGAACAGATGACATTTGTGTCACAGGAGAAAAGAAAGACTGATTAATGGTGTTTATATACATATAAAAAAAGTGTTTAAGTTCTCTAACACTGCAGTGTTCTCATTATCATTGCCTGTAGTAGGCTGAAACTCAGAATTAGTGTGTCAGCATGTTACAGTACTAGGCAGGCCATTCAAGCTCTGACTTGCACTGTATGGTTTTGGTAGTCATGTTTGTGGTATTTTAGATACTACTTCTCCCACTTCCACCTATCTGATTATGCAGGTTGCATTGTACTCCAGACACAGTTTAGTCCATAAATTATAAGACACAGAAAGTCTAAACAGATCTCGGTCCCCACATCTGCAGTAGTCAAGACCATTAAGGCTCTCATGTTCAAACTTGGACTTGTCTTTAATCAGTGTCCAATAATTTTTATTCTACTGTCTGAGATTCATGTGCACTTAGATCCATTCAGTGGGCATGAACAAACATCTTTGTGGTGGATGAAGTAAAGTGCGGCCTGAGAGAACTGAATACACTGCAATGGGCTTCGCAATCATCATATGTGTGTGTATAAATAAATATATAACTGCTTTGCAGCAGCTATTTCAAGCATTTTGGAAATAAATGGGAGATTGGATATTGGTCTATAATTAGCCAGAACACCTGGGTCAAGAGTAGGCTTTTTAGGTAGAGGCTTAATTACAGCAACTTTCAAAGCCTGTGGAACATAACCTGTTAATAGACAGAGGTTGATCAGATCTAATATGGACGTGTTGATTAGGGGCAAGACATCTTGGAGCAACCTGGTCGGGATGGGGTCTAAGAGACATGAAGCAATTGTTGATGTCAACTCAGAGAGATCTATGGGAGAGAAGCAGTTCAAGTATAAAATGTGATCCACCTCTTGCCATATGATAGATAGCTCCCTCAGGCCATAAATGTTAAACTACATTTCTCTATAAATGCTATATGATGATCGTACAATGACCGCCAGATACAGTGGCGTAAAACTTGAGTAAAGCCATTTAAAACATCTATGCATGGTGCATATAGGATTCCAGCTGCAGGCGCCACTGCTGAGAGAGGGTACAGGGTACAGGGTAGTGGATGGGGTTTTTAAACTAGCAGAAATTCCATGGTGGAAAACAACATTTACAACAATTAGGGACAAAAACAAAACAAAACAAAAAAAATCACTGAAGAGCATGACTGTGCCTCTGATCCTCTGGGCACTGAGTTAATCATCTATCATTTTGATTTGTAGGTTATTTTCATGGCACAGTTTGATAAGACGTTATGCTTGCTTGTCATTTGGACTTTACATTGTTTGCTCAGTATTTAATTAAATGCTTTAGTATTTGCTAGACCTGATACCAAGAAAGCAACCTTCCTCTGCTTCACTTCATGTACAACAATTAGATAGTACACAGCACTCTGTGCCTTTAATGAGCTGTTTTAGAATCGCTGATGACACGGAGGTTAAAAACTCTGAACAGAACGTGAGACTGAATGGTTGGAAACCTTAGGGCCTGAGGTACTGTTTGTACTGTTGATTTAATGTTTAGTTGCTGGGGCAGTAGGCAAAATACCACCACACACAACAATTTATGAATCACAGGCAGAAATATGACATAGTCCAATGACAGCACTGTGAGTTTAGGATATTTTTCGACATGGGAGGTACGGAACCATTTATCGGTCAGATTAAACCCTTGCTCTGAGAGGGCAAACAGCGATCAGAAAACTAGGGCAACCACCCACACGCATGTGTACACTGTAAGCAAAAAGAAACATACACACATGCAGACACACAAACACAAGTGGTTGGGCCCTGCCACTCCCTGACATTGCATGCCTACGTCACTGCAGTGCGGGGGCCTCCTTGGTATAGCAGAATATCTATCTGTCAGTTGGAAGAGAGGCTGCAGTGCAGTTTTTATATATAATTATTGTTTTTGACCCTAATTACACAATCCAGACTTCATGATATCAAGTGAAGTCACGCATTATAGAAATCTCAATCTAACAAGATTTTTTTCTACAAGACATATAAATGAGCACGTTTACTATGTAAAAACAAAAAAAAAAATTCATGTTCTAGCACAAAGCTACATTTTTGGAAGGGAAGGTAATGAGGTTTAAATTGAAAAGCAAACAGATCACTGAGCATGACAGACATGACTAAAGACAAGACAAATAATCAGATCAATAAAACAAAACAAAAAGCACAAGGATTCAGACATTAAATACTAAATAACAGCAAGTACAGATGCATTTAAAATAAGCAGGTTGGAGTCAAGTCAAACATACAGCAGCTCGGAGGGATTACAACACTTTATAACAGCACAGGAAGAGGAGCCAGCAAATTACGACAAAATATGACAAACAAATCATGTGGCTGAATGACCGTTGCACTAAAGCTGTGAAAGGAGGAAACGGACGCATTTGATGCGTTTTCTGGTGTTTATAAGCAGCTAGTTACAGGGTGTGGGTGTAAGGAGAAGTGGTGATCCACAAGAGCAGCACCTTAATTGGTAAAACTGTAGCTTTCTTATGCAAAAGCACACACACACACACACACACACACACACACAATTTGTTTAATGCAACACTAACTTTAAGACTTTAAGTCAAACCAGCTCACAAGTCACTATACAATAAGCAAAAACCACACATGACACTGACTTCCTCGTTTCCAAGCAGCAAATACTGAGGAATGTATGAATAACACATGTAAAACAAGTGTATTTATAAAGGAATGTTCCTGTAGGACATTTCCCTGCTGCTCCACAGAGAGGCCAGAGGTCAGGGTGAGCTAAAGATTAGCTGGCTGGAGTCAAGCCAAGTGTTTCTGAGAAGGACACTTGAGCAGCCTTGAATGGCATCTATTAAGCAATTTACTGGTAACTGCTTGCAAAGCCTTCCCAGGGCAACCCAGCCACCATGTTACTTCTGGTGTCATACATTATCTGGTTTTCATAGACCGGCTGAGGCAGACCTGACCATTGGTTCCCATCCAACCCACCTACCACAACCATCAGCAACAGATGACACATCTATTACTGCTGATCTGCTGAACAACGCTGTGCAGCTGCACTGCAAAGTACTGAGAATCTAACTTTATAAACACATTTTTTATTTAACCTTTTCCATATTAGTTCCCTTGAAATGATCAGTGTTTATCGTTAAGCTAATCAGTTCAAGATATTAAAGAGACATCACATATTTCTAATAACTGGGAGAAAGGGCCAGTCAGTAGCTTGGATCAAGAGTGTAAATGTAAATAGTTTGAGAGATCAATTCATATACAGTAGTTGCTCTCATCTGGAGAAAAGATCACTGTTGAACTACAAATCTTAAGTTAAGAGTGGTTGAAAAATAAAAATAAAAAGAATTCCTGGTATATTCCACTTCACTAAAGACCAAATGAATCTGGTACAAACCTTTCTTCTTTCTTAAAGATATAAGACCAACAAAGATTTTGTAGAAATCCCTCCCATTCTTCAGTCTCACTAACATGGCATAAAGACATAAAAGGCAGTTGGATGAGAACTCAATTTTTAGGCAGTAAAGGTTTGTTTAAAGAAGGACAAGTATATTTTGGTTGTGATAGTGAGGAGTTGCTTCCCTTGCCATATTAAGTCTCATGTGAAAATACAACTATGAAACATGATCATAAAATGACTAAAATTCTCTTTTAGAAAGGCATTTCGATGGTCACTGGTCAAGTATTCCTCATGCACATGTGAGCCCAGACTGAGTACACATACCGCATATACACATAAAAGCAACACAGTAACCCGGGCCGGAGAAAGTAAGGGATACTGACATTCACACAAACCAAACGTGACCTACCTCAATGAGCTCTGGCCGCAGGTTGATGGTGCGGAGCCAGTCTCGTAAGTGTGGGTAGCTGTCCAGGGCCTCAGGCCTCTCTGTCTCTGGCACTTTCTGCTTGCACTGCAGCTGTTTACAGATGTATTTCATCAGCTTCACCTGCAGGGAGCAATGGAGAACACAGTGCAGATGGAAGGGGCGGGTTAGAGGGGGGACTCAGTGTGATAGGAGGCAGCTTTCAGTGTAGAGCAGATCTGTCACACCTCTGGGTTGGCAGTGGAATATTTTTAAACACAGTGACAAGACACAAACATTTCACAATATATGTTTTTTTATTACTGTGACACCTTGTATAAGGTGAGGTTTTCTAAATAATTCCTAACACAGCTAATGCAAATTATTGTTGCTTCAACAGAAGTAAGTAACAATCGAGTGGAATCATCACCTCACCAGACACAGACTATGTATTTTCCATCAATATATGCCTTTTCAGTACAATAAGGACTAACCTGATGGAAGAAATTCTCCATATTCTGACGGTTTTTCCATTCTGAGCTCAATGTACCTGCAGTAATGACCCCAGTGTTTGTTCAACCCAATTTACAAGTGCCCCCAGTGCACAAACCAGTTAATCAGATACACAGTGCTATTATTATACAGAGGAACAATGGGCTGGTCATCTAATGAGAGAACCTACAGTGAAGGCACAGCAAACAAGTGTGTTTGGAACAAGGAAGCTGCTCAGTGACATCCGAGTTCTCAATGATGGAAGGACATGTGCCATAGGAACAGTTCATTTTCCAAATACAGTATGTAAAGTACTGTCATCTCCTTTACTCTAAGAAAACATGGCACCTTTGTCACAGTTGCCTTATGTATTATCAACCATTGTGTATAACAAAGCAAATTCTCAGCAAATATGGTCGCGGACAAAGTTTCCTTGCTTTTCACTTGTCTCCTCCTCCTCATCTCCAGAGAGCATCCCCAGTGCTTCCACATTCTGGGGGCTCTGCTGATGAAGCAGGGGAGCGAACGGAGAGAAGAAGAGAGAGGGGCAACAATAAAAGCTTGCCTGCTGAGGGTAGCAACTTATTGACACCCTGTAACCCCTCCCCTGGTCGTCCTCTTGATACTTGCATCTGTTAATCAGCACATTAATGGCTAACGCCCTGGTGAGGCCTTTGCTGTAGTGTCTCATTACATGGGACGCGTCAGTTAATATTACTAGAACATGCTGCTAGATGTGTCACTAAGGTCTTTAGCCTATGTGTATGATTAGACGGGATTTTTCTTTTACTTTTTGTCTTAAAAAAACTCCACAGATTACATATAAAGCTGTGAGGCTTACCCCAACACTTTCCAAGCCAATGTCAAGTGCAGTGGTCCCGTGAGCAAGTATTACAATGAACAGCGTGTTATTGGCTTGCAGCAGGCTGCGCTGTGCAGCTCAGCATGGCCGTATAGTGTGTCTCCTTATCTCACGGTCTATCTGTAAGAGTCCATTACAACAGGCAGCACCTTCAGATGAGGCGTGCAACTCCAGGCTAGCTCTTGACACCACCATACACTTCTGAAGCACCTGACTAACAAAGAGGAGTGTTGTGTGTCTTTCTCTGCTCGTTTAACTCTCTCTGTGGCACATCCATTCTCCAACCAGACACACACTCATGCAGCTACAGGAGCTGTGGCCTTGGGATGTAAAAAGGCTGCCGCTAACAAAACTGTCTCCACTTTAGGTCAGGGCAATGAAAAGAGGAGAGAGAACAGGATGTGTTTGCTCTGTCAGCTGCTATTCTGCTCTGCAATTACTTGTCAGTTGCGCCGAGAGGATTATAAAATAGCAGTGTGCATATTTGAATGTAACACTAATAAGTTTTTGAAACTTACAAACAACTTGTAACTTGTTTACTATGCTCCAACTGTCTAAATGTAGGGTTTCGCAAGATCTGGACAGCAGTAAGAGGCCTTTCCTTGATGTGGCTGATGAGCTGGCCTCCTGCTTTAGCAGCACATACACTAGTGCAGTACTGTGACGTCAGGTTACCTAGCAACCCCTCTTCTAAATCGTCAGCAAGATTTTCAGTGGGATTTTCCCATATGTGTAAAACACAGAGCTCAGATACAACACATCTCAACATTCAAATGTCACCATGTGTCTCCCCTGGACAGTAACTGTAGCAGCTCCAAACATGACCAACATTTTTAACTGGCTCCACTTTAGGTCAGGGCAATGAAAAGAGAGAGAGAGAGAGAGAGAGAACAGGATGTGTTTGCTCTGTCAGCTGCTATTCTGCTCTGCAATTACTTGTCAGTTGCGCCGAGAGGCTTATAAAATAGCAGTGTGCATATTTGAAGGACTGTGTGCATATTATAGGACTGGATTGCACAAGCACACAAGTCCCCAAATCTCTCACTATTATAAGTAATGTGTGGATTTGTGTTGAGAGTACACTCAGGACCATCAACAAAGCAAGAGATAATGGCAGGGAACTTGAGTGTTATTTTTGGTGCAGAGTGGAGAAAGCAGTGTTTGACGTGTGGCCTGGAGGTGGGAGGAGGGGGAGGAGAAATGGCGTCAGAGCCCACCTGTCAGCAGAGTTAAACAACACCATGGCAACGGCCTCATTCTGAGTGACAGCCAGTGTGTCAGCCACCAGAGAAGAAAGAGGAGTCCCAGCTCCTCCCAGCAGCCTGCCTGACAGAGCACATCCAACTGCTCCAGTTGTTTTCTCAAGGCTCTTGCTGACACAGCCACTTTGATGCACCTGCCAAGGATAGCGAGCTGTCTGAGAACCGAGCAACAATGCTCGATGTTAGAAAATGATACTTGCACAGGAAGGTCAGATCATTTCTCTCAAACTACAAATGCACACATTTGCCGTTGCCGTCAGAACATGCTCACTCAACACACAACACTCCTTGTGTAAGATTAACTATTGCATTTGTGTCCCTCTGTCTTTACATGTGGCAGCTCCACTGAGTGTAACAGTCAACATGGAATGTGACAGTGACAGTGGCACTGGAGATGGGAGGTAATGCAAATTTTATGCAAACTGCAATATTGCTTTCAAGGATTCATTTTATACAGGCTCATACAAGTCAACCATGATGAGCAGACTGAAGTTTAATCTCCACATAAAAAATGATGAAAACACCAAAACACTATGGAGCCAGGCATGCCTAGTTCTATTACTTTGGGGGGGGGCGCGCCTCTATAATTGTTTCCACCGCTGCAAGTTGACCCATACACCATGTTGGGGGGTGAAGAGAAGTGAGTTTACCTATTACTATTAGATCTGCCCGTCTTTAAGTCACTGCTTACAATGTATGTATTTTCCATGGCCTTTGGTTCATAGTGGAGTTGATGGCTCTTCTCCAAATGCTTACTGTCTGTCTCTTGCTCTTATTTTGTTGAATTTTTATGTAGTCTATGTGAAATATTTTGGTCACCAAGCTGTTGTTTTTAAAGTGCTATATAAATACATTTTGATTTGAGATGTGACTGCTGACAACTGTGGACAACAGACAAGTGTTGTGCATCACAGGCAGATGTAAAATACTTTTTTTAATGAATGCTTAAAATTAAGTTTTTTCACAAAAGGACAAACTTCCCAATAATTTAGGCACATATAGCTACAACTTACTGCAATTTTAATAATTTACAACCATACAATACATACTGCGCTAACTTCCTTATGATTTTGAGAGAGGACACGCAAATCTCCCTTCCAACAAAAAAGTACAACAGACATCAAAATTACATCCTGAGTCTGTTTAAGGAGAGATCAAGGTCTGCCCACGATGTTCAGCCATCGTGATTTCCACATCATGCAGTCCATTCTTACCGACACCACCACCACCCACCCTCCCCTAAAAAAAAGGAAGCACAGACAGGGTCAGCGTTGCTACAGTCACTAGAGTTGTGTTTCCTCTATAACCTCATGTGAGTGACATTCTCCATTATCTTCTCTTAGCAAACCCCGAGACACACACAGTGGTTTTCATGTCATAAGAGGCAGCCCAGCTGACTGGCTTTGAGTCTCCCCTCCCCTCCCTTCTTGCACAGTCTGTTTGCGTGTCATTTCATTTTCTTGTTTAACAACCAACCCTGAAAATGCGTAGGAAGAAAGATTTCTAAATATAGATGCAGCCACAACAGCTTGCACCACGAGACAAAACAGAGTGACGCTTTACTGTTTGCTGAGCATAACAGAGAGCAGTGATCACAAAGATAAGAAGGTGAACTGCTTTTATGGCAATAAATACATTTCTAGCTACGTTTGAAACTTGTTTATGGTTATGTAAAACACAACACATAAGCAAAAACACTCAATTTATACTGTTTACAGGGTGTTTTTAAGTTACTGTTCCTGGATGATGTAGACTGATTTGGATACGTTTTTAAAGCACACAAGCTACTATGGCAGTGTAAATGGATATGATACAGCAAAAGTCAGGAATACATAAAGACACACAGTAAAAGTAACAGAGGCAACAGAAAGAGACAAGGCTGAGTGGGATTAACATGTCAAAAGTGAAGTACCAGTTAGCACTCCATTCGAGAGGATGGTATCATCACGTCAGTACAATAACAGTGCGTGATGTTCATGGGGAAGAAGAAAAAAAAAAAAAAAAAAACCCCACACAGTTCAAGTGGAATAATAAACCTCTCTCAATGAGAATATAAAGTGAGTTCAAGCCTCTCTTGATTGCACTCCAGTGCAATATGGGAGCAATACCTGTTTGCACCACGAGCACAACAACTACTCTGACCTCTCACAGTTCGCTCAAATTCATCACATGAAGTGGCTCAAAGCTTTAGTAGTAATGAATTATATCTGAATGGTTTACATGTGATCACCTCTACACTGATATGGGAGTTGCAAGCTAGTGCTTGCTAAAATTTCAAGACCACAGCAAGCCTCCAGTGCTGTTGCACACTCCTCATATCAGTGGGTACAGACACAGCAGGCAGAGATATTAGAAATGTCTTGTGTATGTCTGAAATGTTTAACATATGGGCAGAAATCTGGAATTGTAATGTTACAAGCATCTATAGTGTCATTGACAATCTACTATTACTCCTTAATTGGCTGACTTTAAATATATGAGGTATGTGACAAGTGAAATCACTTGTCACATACTTGTCAAAGAGGACTAAATCAAGAAGTGAAAGTATATGGCAAGATGTGGTTTCAAAGCAGTGTGCATGTAAAGACATAGGAAGTGAGACTGCTGATAAAGATAGCAGCTCGTGTCCCACCAGCTCCACTTGAAAAGTTGTTAGACATCTAGACCAGTATCAGTAATAAATGTTTAGCTCTGTATGATTAGCATAATCAGTACATAATCAGTAATCTTCCACCCCCCCCACAAAAAGA